AGGTGGGGTCCCATGTGATGCTGAGATGGGGCTGCCTCCGTAAGTTTTCTCAGGTTCCCCTTAAAATGACACTTGGCCATATGGGAGCGCTTACTCTCCACGTTTTTGATTTCCAAGTTTTCTATTCATAAAATAATTGGTTCTCAGAACTGCTGACAGGTGAAAATAACAAAAATAAAACTGATTTGAATTTAATTTAATCATCCATTCACTATGATCATTAACAAAAGAGGCAAGGATTAGCCCTGTTCTGGGCTTCGCTGAGATTTTCCCGCAAGTAACAGGCACAGGACTCCTACCTACTTTGCAGGGTTGGTGTGAATCACCAATGAAATAGTGTCTGTAAGGCGGCTGATAGGATTTTCTTTCTCCTTCTCACAGTCGTAATAATAATTTCAGAGGATCAAATGCTTGGAAAATGAAAGTTGCTGTTCGGGGTTGACACAGAGGGTTTACAGAGATTTATCCCTCAAAGGGGGGCACATTCTTTTTTGTATAGAATGTTCAGTTCAGTTCAGTTCAGTCACTCAGTCGTGTCTGACTCTTTGCAACCCCATGAATCGCAGCATGCCAGGCCTCCCTGTCTACCACCAACTCCCGGAGTTTACTCAAACTCATGTCCATTGCGTTGGTGACACCATCCAGCCATCTTATCCTCTGTCGTCCCCTTCTCCTCCTGCCCCCAATCCCTCCCAGCATCAGGGTCTTTTCCAATGAGTTAACTCTTCACATCAGATGGCCAAAGTACTGGAGTTTCAGCTTCAGCATCAGTTCTTCCAATGAATACCCAGGACTGATCTCCTTTAGAATGGACTGGTTGGATCTCCTTGCAGTCCAAGGGACTCTCAAGAGTCTTCTCCAACACCACAGTTCAAAAGCATCAATTTTTCGGCGCTCAGCTTTCTTCACAGTCCAACTTTCACATCCATACATGACCACTGGAAAAACCATAGCCTTGACCAGACGGACCTTTGTTGGCAAAGTAATGTCTCTGCTTTTTAATATGCTGTCTAGGTTGGTCATAACTTTCCTTCTAAGGAATAAGCGTCTTTTAATTTCATGGCTACAGTCACCATCTGCAGTGATTTGGGAGCCCAAACAAATAAAGTCTGACACTGTTTCCACTGTTTCCCCATCTATTTCCCATGAGGTGATGGGACCAGATGCCATGATCTTAGTTTTCTGAATGTTAAGCTTTAAGCCAACTTAAGTATTGAATGTTAGATTCTTTCAATTCTAAAGTGCTTTATAATTTTCAAAATTTCACATACATGATTTTATGTAATCACATAATAATCCTTTTTCCCCCCTACCCCTTAAAAGAGGGCACTTTCTTATGGTAACAGTAATCCTGGAGGGTCTGAAACACTCCCTCTGCATAACCCTGTAACTTGTCTACAGAGTTGAGACTGCTTTATCATTGAGTACACTAGTTCATGTGTGTGTGTGTGTCTGTCTGTCTGTCTATCATTGCATCCAAGTCCTGCCTTGTGGATGAGGTGCCCTCTGAACCCCACATTGGCCTTCTGGGCCCTTGCTCTGACTGAGGCATTGTAAGAAGGGACGGGACCTAGGTGTCTGCCATAGAAGCTTTATTGGAGTTCTGGTCCATCTGGGGTACAAGACTGAGGTGGGAGGAAGGGTTCCCTGACACCTGGCAGATTACCATTTGTGACAACAGTTCACATCCCCATCAGCCACAAGGAAGGTGGTCCCTGATATCCTGCCATGGCCTGAACAAACACGGGGTTCAGCAGCAACAGTAGTAATAATAGAAGCAGCTGACAGTTACTGACCACCTGCTAGATACTATATTTTTCCCATTTGATCCTGATTACAACCCAGTGAGACAGAGACCATGATTATCCCCAGGGTGTCAAAGCCCAGTGATGTGCCCAGTGTCACATAGCAGTGTACGTGTCCACATATACACGGGGAAAGTCATCTTTCCTTCCCTAATAAAACCTCCGTGGAAATGCCACAAGCCCACATTTCCCCTCCACCCACCCAGCACCCACCCAGCACCCACCCACAGGTCTACTTTCTGAGCCCGGTGAGTTGCTTCTGATAGATGTGGATGTGTCCCATTTCCCACAATGGAGAATAAACCCCCCACGCTCAGGGCCCATGAGGACTCCCTAGCTCCCCATCATGTGGCTCAGGGCGTGTCTCCAGGGTGGTTGGGGCCAGGACAGCAGCTGGCATCTGCTGGGGCAGTGTCACCAGGGAGGGGTCGGGAAGAAGACTGCCGAATGCACACTTCTTTTGTCAGGATTGGTCACCTTGCCCAGGAGATGTTTTTATACAGCGAGTAGAACAAGCCTAGAGATGACACCAGGTTCAAAAACTCTGCCAGAAGCAAGGGTGAGAATTGGTAGTGTAATAGAAGAAACCAAAAGTCTGCTCACTGGTGAATCATACAAAGAGAACAAACCATCTGGGGCCAGTTAGCATGGGGACAGGCCACCCTCCTGCATTCACAGGCCCTGAAGACTTCGTCATGTGGGAACACTTCCTTATTTATCAAACACGCGTGTATTTGTGTGCGACACATACCACATGTATAAAATTATGTGCCAGGCAGGACTGAATCACTCTATTATTAACTCATTTAATCTTCAGAAGCCAGGTGAAGTTGGTACCATTGTTATCTTTGTTTCACAAATGAGGAAAGTGAGACGCAGGGAGATAATGTGATCAGGATCCCAGAGCTAGTGTCACAAAGCCAGGATGACCACCCAGCCAAGTGGTACAGTTGTGCACTATGATGATGCTGAAATATTAAGAGAATGTGAACTACTTCCAAACAGATATTGTGACAAAGAAACAAGCCATGCATTTGAGAAATAGTTGTATGCAAACTTATTATTTTCTTTATGTTTTAGATATGTTTAGGAATAAGCCTTTTATTTAGACTTATTTAGAAATAATTATTTAGAAAATTTAGAAAATTTTATTTTTTTAGGTATTTAGAAAGTTTCATTTTTAAAGGAACTTGTTTCCCCCACAAATTGAAAAATGTAGTGTATATTTAAAAAGAAAGAGGTTGGGACTTCCCTGGTGGTCCAGTGGTTAACATTCTGAGTTCCCTATGCAGGGGGCATGGGTTCGATCCCTAGTTAGGGAAATAAGAGCCTATATACCACACAGTACAGCCAAAATAATACTAATAATTTAATTAAATGAAAGAGCTCCATCTCTCCCCACTGCTGCTAAGCCCTAGCCCCTAGCCATGGTCAAGCCCCTCCCCACATGTTTGTCCCATCCTTGTCTAGGTCATGGGGAGGCTTGGATGAGAAGCACTTTAGACAGTCAGGACATGGCTCCACTTCTGTTGAAAAGAAGATGTGGCCTACAATCACTTATACAAAATCCTGCAAATAGGATGTTTGCAGAAACCAAACCCCAAATACCACCTATAAGAAAGTTAAAGATGTATGCATGACCTGCCAGAGACTGGATGTTGGGTAAAAGCTTTATGACTTTGGAAAACTTCTGGGCGTCTCTGGGTTTTGTTGTTCTCATCTGAGAAATGGGAGATGGGACGGTACATAAGACCTAGGGCTGTGGTGGCAGAATAAGCCACCACAATGGTACTTGAAAAGTGCTGAACATGATACCCAACATTCACTCACCAAACGAGCATTACATGATGTTAGCTGTTCACACCGCTGTGATCCAGGGGTCAAGGGCTAAGTCCTGTTGAGTCAGTATGATTGTCACTCCAGGAAATCGGAAACAACAAACAGAGACACAGACTGAAAGTAACTGGAGCTCGGTGACATTAATAGCCTCTCTCAGGAGGCAACCTCCATGTCATCCTACATGTATCCCTTCCAACCTTGGTTACTGAGCCTCTTGTTCTTTGGGATACCCTTGTATCTTTCCAATACATTCCTCTTTTTTTTTTTTCCTTAAAAAAAAAGAAAGAAAGGAAGTGGTCAAAGATATAAATAGTATGGATACGTGACTTTATACAAAACCCTTATCTGTGACACTGTGAGACAGGCAGGGCAGAGACTTGTTCCCATGCTCTGTGAGGGATTACAGATCACAGACCTGTGTGCTTTGACCAAGACAGTCAGTGACGGGACATGTGGAACTTAAATCCCAGACCTAACTGTGCCTTCATAGAGTATATACCCTGCTGGGGAGACGACGATATATGTTCAAAAGTAACAACTGGATGTAGTTCTTAAGCCTTCAAGTAACCTGTTTTGTCCAAGTTCTGGGCTTGGAGATGCAGCTGTGGAATGCTAGCAGCCCTGGCCCTAGGAGAAAGGGTCTTGTTCACTGTTCATTTTGTTTTCTCCTATTCATGACAAACTGGTCTCCTGAATGGATCATCCATTTGGTGATTATGTGGTGAAAGGCTGAATCTTGGCTGTGCCTAGTATAATATAAATTCTTACCAATACAAAGTGAAGAGTGAAAGTGAAAGTCACTCAGTAGTGTCCAACTCTTTGTGACCCCATGGACTATACAGTCCAGACTATACTCCAGGCCAGAATACTGGAGTGAGTAGCCTTTCCCTTCTCCAGAGGATCTTCCCAACCCAGGGATCGAACATAGGTCTCCCGCATTGCAGACAGATTCTTTATCAGCTGAGCCACAAGGGAAGCCCAGAAATACTGGAGTGGGTAGCCTATCCCTTCTCTGGGGGATCTTCCCAACCCAGGAATCAAGAACCGGGGTCTCCTGCATTGCGGGCGGATTCTTTACCAACTGAGCTATCAGGGAAGCCCTACCAATACAAAGCAAAGGCTTATTAAAAGCTTACTAAAACTTCAAAGCAATGAGGTATATACAGTTTACAAGTTGGCCAATGTGTATTTATGACTTTTGTGTATTTACCTGGTAAATAGTTACCTGGCAGTCACTGAAGAAGCCTGGGTTTCATTGCAGGGAGACATAAACTGAGAAGATGAATTGCAGGTAACTATCTCAAGCTCTGCTTTGAACTTCTCATTCACATCTTATTCTTTTCTTTTCCTCTCAAGGGTCGAGATTACTGTTCGGAAGAAGAAGATATCACATAGCACCAATCCTACCACTCAAACCGGGAGCTACTACTGTGTAAATAGGTTACACCCCAGTTGAAATCTTTGCAAAGGTCGGTTCTCTTCAGCGAACAGCACTATAGCAAAAGAAGATCGTTCCGTATCGTATGCCCCATTAAATTACAGTGTTTCTTAATGAACTTGCAAAGGAATATTGCTAAAAACAAACAAAAACTGTTATCGAACTTTCTTTGTTGCTGCTAGTTAAAACTTGTTGCAACTTTTCACTTCTCTCAGTGTCCAGGTCTGCAGCAAAATTCTGCAATTTCACCTTAAAGATACTGTTGGTTTTACAGATGCTCTCCAACCTATTTTCTAAAAGATGAGGTAGTGGTGAACTCAGATATCCAACTTCTGTTCTAGACTGGTTCTGCTTCTAAGACAAGCACCTCCTTCCCCCCCTGCCTCCTCCCTGCCTCCCCCAGCAGTCCAGAGCCTTGCTTCTCACTGGCATTGTTGCGCTTTGGAGATGGGATGGTTGCTATGACAAGCCTAGTTTCTCTGCTAAGAAGAAGTAGAGACGCTATTATCAATTCAAAGCATGTCGTGACATGACTCCTGGAAGTGACATAGGAGCGGGCAGCAGGTGGTTTCATTTCCTGGGTCTCTTAATCAAAGATCAAGCTTGCAACATCAGTTTTGCTCAGATGCAGACGGAAGTGTGATCACAATCATTTGAATCCCTCTTGCCCACTTTTTTTTCTAAGAAAATAAACATTTTACTGTTTTTATGTATCCTTGTCTTCTCCCATTCATCCAGCTCAATGTTTTATGATGATCCTGGGTGCGGAAGCTGAGTCCTCCTAGCAATGGCACCTTGATGGCTCCCTGCCATCCCATGTACAACCCGCCATGTGAGCGCAGTGCTGGCAGTGGTCAGAGGTGACAAGGGGACACCCCACGGCTTGTTAGGAGGGCCCGAAACCACCCCGTTACCTTTCACTTTGTCAGCAAATAGACCACCCTACTTCCTAATCCTCTCCCTTCGAGATGTCACGTGGGCCTTGCCACTGCTATTCTCTTGTTGGCAGCGCTGGATGGTGCAGTGAAAAGCCTTTGCCGCCTGGAAAACGTAGTATCCCATTGACACTGGTGATGATTTTCAGAGATGCGAAAGCCAAAGCCCCGGGCCGTAGTGGGGAACGTGAACTGTGGGTTTGGTAGAGTTTATTTTTCCATATTCTATGAAGAGAATGATCTCTTCTCAAAGACAGAAGTAATATTTTTAACACATGTTGTCACAAGTAAATAGCAATCAAAAGGAGAAAATAACTTTTGTATTTTTTTAACATGTCCGATAGCTTTGACGAGAGTTCTCTTTGTTACTTTTGGGGGAGGGCACCCTGTTCAATGCCACGCCAGCAGTCCAGGTTTGGATTTGTTCCACCCACCCACACACACACACACACACACACACACACACAAATAAAACACAGGAAAAGCACTGTATGTTTCTCTTTGTGGGGTTATGGACACAGAGGCCTCACTATCAGCCACTGTACTGCCCTCCGAAGCTGGGTAGTTAATACGTTCTGGGTGGTCAGGAGATTACCTGCCACCTACTAGACTAGGAAGCTTAGTGTCATCTCGCTGCAGAGATGAGCCTTGACTTGCAAATCCATCCATATAGCTGATGGCACCACTAATGTGTCCAGGGAGAAATTCCTGGTCTCCTTTTGGACCCAGCAGCACACACCAAACATGAGGGGAAGGAAACTCAGTCAGGCACTAGAGAAAACGGACTGAAACGTTAGCAACAAAAGCCCTTCCTTCTTTCCGCCGGCAGCGGCAGCTATTTTGGGGAGCAGCTGTGGTTGTTACATAAATAGAGACACAGCCAAAATTTCAGGCTTTTTATCCTGCTTCAAGCAGAAAAAAATGCAGGGAGAGTTCAAGTCGCCTAGGGTTTTGCATCCCCTCCCTTTGTATGGTTTTTTTGGCCAAGTGACTAAAATAGTTTTCCTCAACTGTAAACGAACTGCTGAGCCCCACCTCAAACTTGTGCACCGGAGACTTGTTCGCTATTCCGAGAATGACCTTTTCCCGAGATCCCTTGCTCTTATCAAGCAAGAATGAAGCAGACACTGAACGCCTTCCATTTGGTGTCTCGGATAGTGTCTTCCCAGAAAACCACCACCTTCAACCGAGATAAAACATGCTCACATCATTTTTCTTATGGTCACGTTTAACATTTTGACATGATACACACATACACAGAACCACGTGTCCCTTGGAATCTGATTTTTGAGGGTTTCAAGTGTCGTTTCCGTGAACCAGTGGTTTCTCACCTGGGTTCTGTCCTCCAGGTTTAACACTGGCTCCCTCGCTGATGTGCAAAAGTGATTTCACCTGCAGACACGCGTGGTACACTTAGATCTGAGAAACGGGGCGGCTGAGCCGGTTGGCATGAAATGCTTGATTATGTTAGCAACACTCAAAACTGTCTGTTTTCCATTTGTCGGTTTTAATCATAAAATTGTCAAGTGATCTGTGTTTGTATTTGATTTTTTTATGCCTTCTGAAAAGGTCTAACGCAAAAACCTGTTGCCTTTCTTCCCCCCGCCCCCCACACCCCCCTGTGTATCTGAACCTGTTAACCACATTGTCTCAGATACAATGAAAGAATAATCTGAAAGCTAGTGCTTCTGCTGGCTGTTATCTCCGAGGCCTCTGGGAGGGAGGGAGGGAAGGGGCCTGGCGGAGGGAGGTAGAAAAAGGATGAGAGATGGACCCAGGAGCATTTAGGACACAGCAGGTCGAGGGAATGGCGTGGGCCGGGTGCGATGCAGGATCCAGCTGTTCAGCGGCCAGTGGGCAGGGCGGACTGTCGGCAAGATTTACTGCGGGATTACTCACGCCCTCTGTGCTCTGAGTTGTCCAATTGTAAAAGTTCAGGAGTCTGTGCGTAGCTTTCTTTTGGTTGGCGGAGATTCGGGATCACGAAGTACTGCTGTCATAATTGAATGCGTGTTTGTTACTGGCTGAGGAGCTTAAAAAGAGGCTTTTAAACCTCAGTGTTGCCTCCGAGCCCCCGGCTGGAGCGCAGGGCGGTGTTATTTAGGGACAAAGAAGGTACAAAGTCTGGGGACAGAAAACTAGGTCAGCCCTCAGACACACCAGCGGCCGCCCCCGCCCCCCGCCCCCCCTCAAGACAGGAATAATAGAGCATTTGGCCTGGAGAAGAGAAGGCTTGGAGGACACGGCTGCTCTGAGAGGCCCTGGAGACAGGCCTCTCTCTCCGCATCTGCAGCGCCCAGGGTCTGAGGTCGGGCTCTGATGCCCAGACTGAGGAGCAACCTCGGTTCTTTAGCCTCTGTGCGTGCTAGCCTCCTCCACCTCCGTGTCGGGGGCTCCCGCATGCTCATAAGCCGCAGCCCCCAGGAGCGGGCCCAGGGATGATGGCGCCCCCTCTCGGTCCCAGTTTGACTTACAACTTTGTCCTCCCAGTTTCATTGAGACTGGTCTCTTAGGGCCAGCTTCTCCCCTAAGCCTGCTAAGAGCAGAAATTATACCTCTTATGCAGTTTACCTCAGTAGCCTATGAGGCCCCTTGGCATATTGATGACAAGCCCTGCTTAGACATCGGCAAGAATTTAAAAGAGCATTTCCATGTCTACTGATTTTAGAAAAGAAACTCAGTTAAATATGTCAGTTTGATGGGAAGAAAAGTTATCAAGTTCTTAATCTAGGAAAATACCAACTCTGATTCTTGGACTCTGGCACTCGCGTATTTTTTATGACAGGCAAAACAATCGGCTCTCTCCCTCCTCCCAACTCCATCATTTAAAAAAAAAAACACCAAATATCAGATTACACTGTATAATTTTACATAAAATCTGCTTTCCCCTGGAAGATGTGCTCAGAGCTTTATTTCTTTGTACCTCTCAGAAATTAAACTTTTTGCTAAGTTGCTTCAAACCCTAGTAGAAGAATAAGACCTGGTCAGGGAGAGGGGAGATATATTTAAAGACATAATGAAAAGGTGGCTCGAAGCTGGAAGGTGGCTTCTTGGTGACACAGGTGGATTACTGGACACCCCTCCCTGCCCCGCTCTCCACCCCAGGTGCTTGTGTGAAGCCGGTGAGGCAGTCAGCTTCCACACAGCCCAGGTCCCTGCCATCGACCTTTGGAATTTCATGGATAAGTTCTATGAATTGCCTTTGCCAATGAATGGACATGTTTTTCCAAGGGGAGAAAATGCCCTTGACTTCAGTCACTTTTTTGTTTGTCTCTGGAAGAGAATGAAATGCCATGGAAGAATATGAGGTTTGTGGGTAATTAGATTTACTTTTGTGAGAAACCTTAGGATGGGCTCACTACTTATGCCATGCTTTTCAGAAGACTCTTGTACCTTACCTGGAATCTAATCTAATCTTAGGGAAAGAGGAAGAGGAACTAACATTTATTATTTAAACTCATTCTGTGCCAGATACTGTGCTAGGCATTTTTATAACTGTCTTGTCACAATAATCCTGGGAAGTGAATCAGTTACCCCCATGTTCTGAGTAGTGTATCTTAAGTGTAGAATGCATCCATCCAACATAAATGCCCATGTTGAAAGAAGGAAAGATGTCATTCAAGTGCTTTTCCAAAAATTTTATTATTATTATGCCCTTCGCAACGTAACACTGTGAAAACAACCCTTTGGGGGCATCTCCCTCTTCCAGAGTTTCTCCTGGGCTCATCAACAGCATGGTTTCCCCTGGGGGAGTGTTTTCTCGGCCTTCCCATACCTGATGAGCGACAACAAACAGGAGAGGCTAGCAGGGTGTTGGTGCCTGGAAGGAAAAGGCTTTGGGGTTTTAGACACATCTCTCTCTCCTTGGAATGCTTTCAGCATCTGGAAAAGAAGGCTGTTGTCTACAGTTAGGCATCCGATGTGGCCAGAACAGACTTTTGAGTGCCCTGATTTCTTTCCTGGGTCCCAAGTCTTGTTTCATCCCAGAATGCGTCCTTTGAAGAAAGTAAAAAGCCTTAACCTTTTGAGAAGTTTAAGAGAACCTGATCTCCAAAGGTGGAGGAAGAGCAATGCCTAGACCATTAACTTGAAATTCTTTCTTGTGGGCTAGGGTTTGACGTCTCTTTTTGATCTTTGGACTAGGAGCTCTGTGTTTCCCAGGCTAGTGTAAGCATTGAAACTAGATGTGAATCTCTTTCAAGACCTTAAATGTTTTAGATGGTCATGTAGTGACTTGGATAGGCATTTAAATAATTTGTTCCAAGGTCAGGAGAGTCTGAGAATTCCCCAGAGTTCCTCTCCTTGCTTCGAAAGGCACAACAGCCTCTGAAGAAGATGATTCATGTCTCCATAGCAACTGTTAAAGGTGCTGCCTAGAGGGGACCTGTCTCCACCCTCACTTTCTTAGCTTGAAAGAATCGAAAGAGTTTCCTTGTGTCAGGGGGGTGCTATGTCCTGTTTTCTCATGAAAACTGTCCCCAAGATTCCTGCCTCTTTCTAACATGGTAGCTGTCAAAATCCTTTAAGATGATGTCGGAACTGACTCTTATCTCTTGGAAGCCAGAGAAAAATCGCTTTAATTAATCAAGACTCACCCCTAAACCAAAGGCCCTATTCTAATACTGTCTTCCCTCTCTTCTCTGAATGCTCCCTTCTTTCCTTTTCAGGGGTTATTTTTAGCCCAAGGCTTTGCATCTGATTGAGTAAGACTTAGAGGCAGTAAACATGAACGCCACAAACTCGAACTCGGCCAAAACTGCCTTAGGGCCCCTCGGGTTGAAAAATAGCTCTAGAACGTTGGAGGCCACTGGGCTGGGACCCAGAAGTGATTGAACAGCCCCTGGTTTCTGCCTTTTCAGTCCAGATCTTCAGACACCCTTCTCCCTTGACAGTCAAATGAGCAAGGGAAGTTTCAATTGCAAGCCAGCTTTTTCATTCAGAGCGAGACGCAAATTCATTTTTGAATTTTTGTATCGATTTTCCTGGAGCAGAATCAGGCGGCTGCTTTATTAGGACTCTAAATTTGGATCAGTTTCCTAACACACTCATATACATGCCACAGAAAGATACATGGAGAAAAAATACATACTTTATCATTTAAGTACTTCAAGAAGAGCTGCATTTGGCTTTGCATAATCTCTAAGATAACGTCTAAGAAATCATGAGTATAATTATAATAATACCAAACTAGGAAAAGCTAGTGATCACACTCTCCAAAGTCTGAGTGAGACCTGAATAGGAGGATGGAAGTCTGCTGGTCGTCTGGCCTTGCGCCTGCTCTGTGCCCGGATGCCTGCCATTAGCATCTTGCACTCACGTGGGCTCCCCCACCTGGACTCTGTGGTTAGCAGTCTTTCTAACTTTGGGCAATACAGCACAGGCGAATCCCCCAGCACGTCTCACACTCTCCCACTCAGCCAGCGTGGCCCCAACTGCAGCATTTCACCAGCTCTACTGGGACACAACAGCACGGGGAGTGGGATTGGGCCCCTCCATCCGGGTTGGCCCAGATGTAGCATTTTTGGCATTGCCTTCCCTGGTGAGTTTCCCTGGTGGCTCAACTGGTAAAGAATCCTCCTGTGATGTGGGAGACCTGGATTTGATCCCTGGATTGGGAGGATCCCCTGGAGAAGGGAAAGGCTGCCCACTCCAGTATTCTGGCCTAGAGAATTCCATGGACTGTATAGTCCGTGGGGTCGCAAAGAGTTGGACACGACTGAGCGACTTTCACTCACTCACTCCCCAGTGTCGAGTTATTTAACAGATCATTTGGAGCATCTCATTATTAGCTCCAGGCACTGAGCTAATCGCCAGCAGTACACGGATGACCCAAACCCAGCTCCCGCCCGTGAGGCGCCCATCATTAGTGGGGAAGACAGTGTGGGAGGCGGTGCTGCAGGAAATTCCTACGGGGTGCCGAGGGAGCATCTCAGGGGGCATCCGCCCAGCTTTGCGAACCGGGGGCATCCCAAAAGAAGGGACTGCAAAGCCTGAGTGTGTTTGAGGCCTGAGGGAAAGCCTCGCAGAGGGCCTTCAGGCTGAGGGGACAGCAGGGGACACAGGCGAAAGACTGGCCAGCGTGAGTGGCCAGGGCCGCAGGCACAGAAGCAGCTGGAGTGGGAGCTGAGGAAGGAGAAGAGACTCAGGCAAGGCAGCCAGGGACCCCGCCCCGGGGGCATAAGGCAGCTGTGGGTGGTGCTTGGCTCTCTGAAGCCCACTTCTGAGGCCACCAGAGAGGTAAGTGTGGTCCCCGTCGGGACCAGGAGTCCCGTCCTCAGCATGGAAGGGCACAGATGCTTCCTGAGACGATTTATTCCCGTGTATCCTCCATCCCTGCCCCAGCTCCTGATCCTCTCCCCCAGAGCTGTTTGCTCTCAAGGGCTTTACCCCGGGCTGGATTTAGAGACATACAGGGGACAGCTCTAGGTCATCCTGACCTGTCTTGTAGAGCCACCCAGACTAAAAATACCTCCTGGGAACTGGCTGGCCTAGAGCTCAGGATGAGGGTACACCCAAAGATAAATACGTGG